TGTGGTAGCACAAAGGTGTGTGTAAATCCTGTGCTTCTGAAAACGGACACTGTGATAGCACAAAGGTGTGTGTAATCCTCTACTAGTGAAAATGGACACTGTGATAGCACAAAGGTGTATGTTATCCTCTTCTACTGAATTTCGACACGGTGTAGCAGAACGTTGTGTGTAATCTACTGGTGCTAATCGACACCGTGGTAGCAAACCGATATTTGTAAATCTTCTACAAATGAAACTTGACACTGTGAGAGAACAAAGACATGTGTAAACCTCTATTTGTGAAAATAGACACTGGGGTAGCACAAAATCCAAAGGTGTGTGTAAATCCTGTACCTGTGAAAACGGACGCTGTGGTAGCACAAAGGTGTGTGTAAACCCTATACTTGTGAAAACGGACACTGTGGTAGCACAAAGGTGTGTGTAAACCCTATACTTGTGAAAACGGACACTGTGGTAGCACAAAGGTGTGTGTAAACCCTATACTTGTGAAAACGGACACTGTGGTAGCACAAAGGTGTGTGTAAACCCTATACTTGTGAAAACCGACACTGTGGTAGCACAAAGGTGTGTTTAAATCCTGTGCTTCTGAAAACGGACACTGTGGAAGCACACAGGTGTGTGTAAATCCTGTGCTTCTGAAAACGGACACTGTGGAAGCACACAGGTGTGTGTAAATCCTGTGCTTCTGAAAATGGCCAATGTAGAAGCACAAAGACAGGTGTAAATCCTGTCCAAGTGAAAAGGGAGACTCTGGTGGCACACAGACTCGTGTTATCCTCCACTGCTGAACTTGAACACGGGGGTAGCACGAGCCTGTGCAAGTCCTACATACGTGAAAATGGACACTATGGTAGCACAAAGATGTGTGTTATTCCATCAATTGTTTTCTCGGCCGAAATGTACCGCGATTATTTCTGACCATTCATTAATCATTAAGGACAAGGCATATGGAACCTCTAGTAGTGTAATCAGTTCAGAATAATTGTCACGATTACAAACATGTTTAACGATAATATGCTTCATGATACCCTTAAGAGGTAAAAAAAATCAATTCAGGGAGATAAAGGTGCTCATAAAAAGCAATATGCGTGAAAGGAATTAAAAAAACCCAACCATTATACTATTGGGATTAACACTTTTCAATTTGCCACCTGAAGTGTTATTGTTTTAGATTATTTGTTTGCAAAGTTAATAGCAGTGTAATAAAAAAAATAATTCTGTTGTAGTGTAAAATTTTTGTTATGGAATTTTTATCACGAAAATAAAAGAATGCCAAAAAAACAGTACCACTTGACCTATTTTAGTCACGCCCCCTGTGGATCGAAGTCTAAGACCCGGGCCAGAGGCCATGGCATGTTGGAGTCAGAACAATGAATGAGAACAACTGAATACCACGTGACTTGCTGAGTGAGTGCACGTTGCTACACTACGTAGTCAGCTATAGTCCGGTATTCGAATCCATGGCATGCAGGCAAACCAGTGACTGAAAACATGAACACTATCCACCCCATTGGCATACGGTTATTAACTACCTGTCACAGAGCCACCCGATCCACAGTTTAGTTGTTTCTTACAATCCGCATGGGGTTCAGAGGTACCTGTCCTGACCTGGAATCCATCTGGCTGAACGAGAGACATACTGCCATTTAAACATCTCCATATACCCCCAAAAGAAGTAGAGGATATTCGAACATGACGGATGATTACAGAAATACAAAGAGGTTTCGAGTATTGGTAACGGTTGGATAGGTTGGGTTGTTGTTTTACGCCGCATTCAGCAATATTCCAGCTATATGACGGCGGTCTATAAATAATCGAGTCCGGACCAGACAATCCAGTGATTAATATCATAAACATCGATCCACGCAATTGGGATCGATGACATGCATCAACCAAGTCAGCGAGTCTGACCACCCGATGGATGGATAGGAAAAGGGAAGGACTATGTGTAACATGACAACAGAACGTGTTGCCGGTGTTTTATGAGGTGCAACCAACCAACAGGGGGTGTAGTCAAAAAATGAACGTTTGAGATGACTTGATCAATAATGGGACATGTTCCACGACTGGTCGAACATGCGTTGATACGACATAGCATGGTCTGAATCATTCTCCTATTTCAGGGAGTCTTATTCACTCTTTTCCGCCTGCCCCATCTCGGCTAACGTAGCGACCCTTGACGTCGGCGCACGCATATCCCGCTCATGCCCCGGACGTGGTCTGTTAGGGAAAGGTCAGGAGTTGTGGCTGACCATTGTTTTCTGGTATTGTTTTGCTACTGGGGCTAGTCATTATCATATGTACACTGTGGGCACGAGCGTTGTCGTCTTGAAGACATAATATGAGCCATCATGGCGCGCAGACGGCACAGCTATTTGCGCTATAGTATGTATTCTTGGTGGTACCTCCAGAGACCATTCCATGGACAATGTATTGTGGCGTTATGGCAGTCATAGTGATCCCGCCCCATATCATTACAAACCTACCCCAAAATCTGCCATGTACGTTCGCATGACGTTCGTTCGGGTGCCGCCAGACACGTCCACACCTATCCAGAGTGAGTGAGTATGGTTTTACGCCGCTTTTAGCAATATTCCAGCAATATCACGGCGGGGGACACAAGAAATGGGCGTCACAAATTGTACGCATGTCGGGAATCGAACCCGGGTCTTCAGCGTGACGAGCGAACGCTTAAACCACTAGGCTACCCGACCGCCCCACGCCTATCCAGAAAGTGAATCTGGACTCATATCATCAGAAAAACATTACGCGAGACCATCGGCAATTCCCGCTGTTTTCTGCGCTCAAGACACCATTGGCCTCTGACTTGAATGTGTCATTTTGTTAAGGGTGGATGTACTACACGTGATCGCCGTGACCACAAACATATAGGTTACTATAAGCTTTACACCACAATCCTCACAGACTTGTTTGTGAAGAAAAGTCAAGAAAATGTTAAAGGTCAGTAATTAAAAATTACCTGCAACCTTCCAACACAATGGTTTGGAGAATCTGTCAATTTCACCAGAACCTATGCAAACATTGCAGACGGACTGACGGATGATGTACGTCACACCTGGACGATTGTTAAGGTTCCTCGACCGCATCTGTCCTCCCGTCTCTCCGCAGTCCATACAGCTGTACCATGAACCTTACACGACGAGAAATACAACACCGCACTGTCTGCCGCCAGGCGACACCAGACATCAATACACGACATGCATATTATTTGATATCAACATTTTCTTCAAGGAGACCGCCTCTGTGGTCTAGTGATAGAACGTCCGCCCGGAGAGCGGAAGGTCTGGGGTTCGATCCCCGGTCGCGTCATACCAAAAGACGTTAAAAGATGGTACTTGTTGTTACCCTGTCTGGCGCTCGGCATTAAGGGGGCTAAAGCAAGGACTGGTCGGCTCGGAGTCAGTATACTGTGTCTGAGTGGGGTATTCATGTTAAACTGCGGCATGGTATCTCGGTGGGCTAGCACTATAAATCGGCATCAGTCCGGACTAGTACAAGCAGCCACACACACGTGCATGCACGTCGCTATAAAAGTGCAATAATCTTGGACGCGACGTTAAACCCAATTTCACCTCACCTTCAAGTCTTGGCCGCCCCCGTCTGTTGATCCATGGGGATTTTACGGACGTATATACCATATATTCACACCGTGGTAGCCGCGGGTTAAACGTTCAAAATGACGACGGTCACGAAATATATATATACGCTTACGCTTGTAAATTGAATATATTGGAAAATATTGGTTGACACTCATATAATGTTCCGGATAATATTGCCATTATTATACGCAGTTTGACGTATATAGGTGGCAGCCGAGGGCGCAAGATGACTTTAGTGTTTGTTTTTACAGAGTGTGTGAGTGTGGTTTTACGCCGCTTTAAATAGCAATATTCAAGCAATATCACGGCGGGGGACACCAGAAATGGGCTTCACACATTGTACCCATGTCAGGAATCGAACCCGGGTCTACGGCGTGACTAGCGAACGCTTGTCGTAAGAGGCAACTGGGTTCGGGTGTTCAGGCTCGCTGACTTGGTTCACGCATGTCACGGTATCACAATTGCGTAGATCGATTCTCATGATGTCAATCACTGCATGGATTATCTGGTCCAGACTCGATTATTTACAGACCGCCGTCATATAGCTGGAATATTGATGACTGCATGTGGCGTTAAACAAGAAACAAACAAACTAACAAACCTACATGTACATCAGCGCAAGGGCGTAGTATTGCTGATTTTGCCATTGCCTGGATCTCCAGCTCTATTCGATTAGAGAGAGAGAGAGAGAGAAAGAGAGAGAGAGAGAGAGAGAGAGAGAGAGAGAGAGAGAGAGAGAATGATCCACGCCGAGCCGAGCCTGACCACCAGATCTATTAATCGCCTCGAACGAAAAGCATAAAGGTTGCTGGGACCTTAAAATTGCTATTCCAATACGGAATCCCCCCGTGTTTTCATATGTATATAAACGAATAGCTATAGTTTGTATTTATTCTCTACCCCGATCTACACAGGTAGAATGAATTGATATAGATCTAGCCACAGTTAATTTTGAATACATTTTTCAATAAATGACAACATAGTATTTTCGTTATTTATCGTTACATGTGTGCTTGTGAAATACAACCAGAGAATATCAATTTTAAGCATGATATATGTTTTGTTGACTTCATAAAGAAAATCATATCACTTTTTCAAAAGCTCTTAGAAAATGTCAACCTATCATTGCGCGAAATGATTAATGGCGTGGTAATATTATGAGATTTAAAGATCAATCGTCTATATGCCTAGTGTTTTTATTTGTGAATTAAGACAAAGCTACGATTCCATTAATCATTCAATTGAAATGTCGCTTTCGTTTAAGTGTAATAGCCCTTAATTAACAGTCAATTACAACCCTTGTGTTTGTTGCACGCATGTACAGACATGTAGCAATGACGTCGATGTACATTTAAGTTCGAAACAGTGGTCGATCAGACCTGCAATAGCTCTACACGTTTCCCCGGAAGTAGCGCTTGTCGTCTGTTAGAAGCGTTGCTTACGTGTTAACGGTGGTTTTGTTGCTGTCACACAGACATGTTGAAGGCAATTATCCTTATCGGCGGGCCTATGAAAGGTAAGAAATAGATTTAATCATAATTGTGTTTCTGGGTGACGTCACAATGGTCATACTTGTCACGTTTTAACAAAACATTCAATGAACGGACACCTGCAAAAGTGCATTCCTGAACCGGTTGTGATACGTCAGGCATGACAGTCGCGTGTTATTCAAGCATTCCATTACATTTTCATGTGTCTGATAAAATAAAAAGCGCTTCAGTGATATTTAACATATTTTTACAGAATTATATCCATGATTATCAGTGAAAATTAATTTATCTGAGAAGACAGTAATGGGCGTGACTCCGGGTGCAACCGGGTAGAGGGTGGTTGGAAATAAAAGCTTGAAGGTTTTGTGTTCATGAACAATAAGCATGATAAGAGTTAGTCAGACGCATGCACGTATTTGTACATGCATTTGGATCATGTAGACATATATTAGGTTGAATTTTTCAATAATAGGTTGCATTGGTGCAATGTTTTTATTGCTAAAAGGGCGGTCGGGTAGCCTAGTGGTTAAAGCGGTGGCTCGTCACGCCGAAGACCCGGGTTCGATTCCCGACATGGGTACAATGTGTGAAGCCCATTTCTGGTGTCCCCTGCCGTGATATTGCTGGAATATTGCTAAAAGCGGCGTAAAACCATACTCACTCACTCACTTTAGTGCTAAAATCGAGTCCTGAAGAATACAAGCACGTGTTTGTGTTGCTGATTGTACTAGTCCAGACATTTTTATAGTGCTAGCCCACTTTGATATCATGCCACAGTTTAACATGGATACCCGTGCAACCGGGTAGAGGGTGGTTGGAAATAAAAGCTTGAAGGTTTTGTGTTCATGAACAATAAGCATGATAAGAGTTAGTCAGACGCATGCACGGTTTTGTACATGCATTTGGATCATGTAGACATATATTAGGTTGCATTTTTCAATAATAGGTTGCATTGGTGCAATGTTTTTATTGCTAAAATCGAGTCCTGAAGAATACAAGCACGTGTTTGTGTTGCTGATTGTACTAGTCCAGACATTTTTATAGTGCTAGCCCACTTTGATATCATGCCACAGTTTAACATGGATACCCTACTCAGACATTATACTGACTCAGATCTGATCAGTCCTTGTTTTATCCCCTTAATGCCGCCAATAGTCACTCGTGATCCATTTTCCTTTGAAATGTACTGGTGGTACAAACAGATATATCAAGTTATAATTTTTTAATTTGAAGTTTACACGATATAAGGCTTTTCCATTGGATGAGAGGTCAGTCACCTGACCACAAAATTGACGTTCATAAGTGAGTGAACAACACAATTTGACGTGCATACATTTTTCACAAGACCGTGTTCTTGAAGTGATGTAAACACTGACAGACTACTTCCATATTCATGGGGAAACCCCTGGGAATTCCCTAGCACAAATACATTCAGAAGCGTTCTTTCTGTTCATTTAGACCCTTTAATCTTGAACGCAGCGTTTTAGTATACATTGAGAAACATCAGAGAGTTTAACTGCACGTTCGTTCACGAATATCCTCGCTATGACCCATCCTAGTGAACGAAACAAAGAAATGCACATCTAAACTATTGGAGTATTGACTCGATCCGTGTCTAGGCTGACACTGACAGTCTAGAGAAATCTATGAATTTACCTTAGTGTCTATTTGACAAATCTTTATTCATCTTTCAATGATCGGCCAATTGATCAATGATGACTAAAACATATAACCGCCACAGGTTCATTAAAAACTTCCAAAATCTCCCCCATCACGTTTATTGTGTCGGCCATTTTGACGTCTTGTACTTGATATAAATGTTTTATGACGCGCTGTCATTGTGACTGACTTACTGAGGTAGTTCTTAACAGACCGTTCTCATCTAATGGTGATATTATTTGAATACATGTCTTGTGTAAGATGTTTCTGAAGAGCAAGTTGTGCATACATACGCTCCATCTTCCCGAGGCAAGAGAGTTAACTGACTTTAAAATTCCAGTTTCCACCCATGCCGAACTAGGCTGGAATTACTGGGCTCGATCGTAGCGCCACCAGTGGCTATTACCAGTCATGTCCCGTCTAAGCCTCTACTATGGACCAATCAGATTCCACCTCTCGTATCACTTGTGTTTGCTTCACACAAAATGGTGGCGCCCGGTCAGTTAGATCTGTTCGACAATCGAGATCTATATTCTAATAAAACGGGTCTTACATCGCGAAATTCATCAAATCACGTGAGCACTTTGATTAAAAACATGAAAACATTTGGAAAATATCTGCTGACAACGAGTTGGCGGTGAACATGCTTTGCAAATCCTGCAACCGACCGAAATCTGCACGACAGTGGACGAACCGGATTTCGAATTCGGTGCGCGATTTTGATTGGACTATGCATAGACTCATTAACCCAGCCAAAATGTAACTCCATAATACTAGCCTAGTTCGGCAAGGGTGGAAACTGGACTTTTATAGTCAGTTAACTCTCTTGCCTCGGGAAGATGACATACGCTCATGTCACTTCTCTTTTTGAGGAACTATTTTATTCTGCAATATAACTGGTTGATGTATGGCTCTCAGTGTAAACATGAAGTCACAAATACTAAATAAAATTGTGTATAGATCTAGGCCTACATCCTTTGAGGTAAGAAATTGTGACCAAAAATTGCAAGAATTGACTTTCTCTTTGTGTGAGTCCATTGGAGTATGAACCTTCATAGAGTGAGGGCCAAACAATGTATGAACATCATCGCAAACCCCGATGTTCATACAGTTTGGCCCTCACTCAATGAAGGTTCATACTCCAAATGAACTCACACAAAGTGAAAGTCAATTATTAAGTAAACTACCCAGATTTGTGTTGCCATATTGTTTTGTACCCAGACGATACTATATCAAAGATGCACTGAAAATCTATGGATTTGTTGTAATGTTACCTCACACAGGGGTAGAATTATCATAATTAAGAAATCTATGCCCATTTCCAAGGACTAATGCTAAAAAATATCTTAACTGGTCCTTGTTACAAGTCAGTATGTTTGTATTATCAATGACATACCAGATATGAAGATTCAATATTGTTTTGATCGTGCATGAATAATGTCTCCTTGTTGTGCCAGTTTATAGCACACCTATTCACATGAGTTACCGTATTCGACGTAATAAGCGCCCCGCTCTAATAAGCGCCCACGGCGATAATTGCTAATATATTGGCTGGTGAACAATCCCAATTGGCACCCCTTCTGATTGATCAATGTACACAAGACTTATTTATTCGTGTATATGCACCCTTAATTACGGGCAATTAAATTCTAGAAAAATATATCTGTCGTGTATAATACGCACAGACTTTTCTTTTGTATCATTTCAGGCTGTCAGCATAAAACACGAAATTTACGATCTTTCAACTCTGTTTTTTTCTCACCAAAATAATATATTAATAAGAGCCCCCTATTTTCTAATTTTAAGAGCGCCCTGGGCGCTTATAACGTCGAATACGGTATATATACAAAGCAAAAATGAGTGTTCCCGCAAAGTTTGGTAGGCTTGCATTCCCTAATCTTGCAGTACTTATGGCTTTCAGTTTATTTTTAAATAAAGGCAATTCACCAGTGTCAAGTGTTAATGTTTATCAAAGCGTCATCGTTTTTTACAATGTTTACAAATAAGTATTTTTTCCGTATGAAATTTACATTTTACATAAAGATCGATGACGAAAGGTCATGTTGGAAGGTGCGTTTCATATTCTTGCGGAATGATTTCAAGGGGCCTATAGTTTTTTCCCGGGCACACAAGGTCAGCTTTCAATCATGTGACTTTATGAAGCTTACAGACAAAGTTTTTCAAGCAGCAAAAAGGTTATTTGACATGGACTTGTTAAATTATGATGCATCAATGTTAATAACTTCATAACTAATTGTGTTATCATATAATCTTCTAACCAGTCACTCAAAACATGAACATCACTTACCCCAGACATTCGTAAAAATAAATGAACATTAACAGGATTAATAATGACCCTCTTAAAGCTTAACAGTCAACTTGTTTTTCATAATGGCCAATCTTTTTTCTCTCAAAATATTGAATATGATTCATGTTCTTGATGATTCCAATATTGCAGGTACTCGTTTCCGCCCCTTGTCTTTAGAGCTGCCCAAACCTCTGTTCCCAGTGGCTGGCTTCCCGATGGTTTATCACCACATCGAGATGTGCAGTAAGGTAAGTCACGTTCCCATCTACGGCGCTGTTGGGGATAGCTCAGGGGTTAAAGTCCCCAGTGCAAACAAGAACACAATGATGCTGAGCATCAAAATCTGACTGCAAATAGTCGTGTTTATAATTTTGATGTTTGGAACGCTGAAAAAAAAAGTCAAAATAGTCTCTTCATTATTTGCTACACTATTCTCTTCAGTAGGTTAATAACATTCAGGCTTTATGATAAGAGGTAGTCTAAGTCAGTGGGAAGTGAAGTTGAAATGATTTGCTTAAGATTACTCAAAAGGCACAAAAGCAAGATAATTTGTGCAAATCCTCTTAAAACAATGCAGAAAGGTTTGAGAGCCATACTCTTGAAACAAAACCTAGATCCTAGTTCTCTCATTGTGAATGTATGTATTAATTGATGTTACATGTTGTTAATGAAATACTGAAATTTTTATAAGTTTGGCTGTGGACTTAGTCCTTACCTTCAGTTGAAATTTCTTCCAGTGAAGTGCAAAAATTGAAAATGTTAAATTCCTGAATAGCGAAAGGCATCAGCTCTGCAGTTCCCTGAAGTATATACAGACTTAAATCTTTATGAAAAAAATTGAAATGTTTATTAGTTATGTTAGGAAAGTGATCCTTACCTACATTTTCATAAGTCCAATTCTTTGTGCTGGAAAAGAAAACTCTAAACAATAAAAATATCATGAATGGTAAAAGTTTAACATTTGGACAGATTATGAGTTATGTTCCTGAAATGAATCCTTCTTTTTATGGACATGTGTTGTCTTTAAATGAAATGCAAACCCCCTAATTTGTTTTTTGATTCCTTTATAGCGAAAGGCGTCATTTCAGCTCTTGTCTGATGTGTATAATAATTGGTTGAACGCAGATGCATAGTGTGCACATCAGTTAATGGATTCACACCTCAATAAACAAAAAGAAATACATAGTCAATCCTTATGATTACATTTCACAACAACATATGTTCTCAACATAGCTGTATGACAAAAGACATAAATCAAAACAGATGAATATATGATGAAACCGATAAACATTCCATGTGTAGGATACATTTTGACTAATGGGTCAGGTTATATACTGTGGGACTAATGGGGCAGGTTATATGCTGTGGGTCTAATGGGTCAGGTCATATCTTGCGGGACTAATGGGTCAGATTATATGCTGAGGGACATGGGGCAGGTTATATACTGTGGGACTAATGGGTCAGGTCATATCTTGCGGGACTAATGGGGCAGGTTATATGGTGAGGGACATGGGGCAGGTTATATGCTGAGGGATATCGGGCAAGTTATATACTATGGGACTAATGGGGCAGGTTTATATACTGTGGGACTAATGGGGCAGATTATATCTTGCGGGACTAATAGGGCAGATTATATCTTGCGGGACTAATGGGGCAGATTATATGCTGAGGCACATGGGGCAGGTTATATGGCGAGGAACAACGGGCAAGTTATATACTGGGGGACTAATGGGGCAGGTTATATACTGGGGGACTAATTGGTAAGATTAAGTAATGGAAGACTAATGGGTCAGGTTACATACTGGGTAAACAATAAATTATTTAGGGATGAAATGCTATATTTATTTGCAAAACTGAAATTGGTATTTCACTCCAGTGAATTCAACTACTTTCAGTTTGCCTCAATGACTCTGATTTTCAGAGTAAGATCACAAAGAACATTAGAATATGTGTCTTTTCTTGTCGCATAACCTATTTATATCATTTTGTGATCTGAAAAAGTTAACATCTTGCTTCTACCTCATCTTTGTTCCTTAGTATATTTACCTCCTCAATAGAACAGATCAGAATCTATAACTATAAGTAGGCTGAACCAATGTGTAATATAGAGATCTTGGTGCACTATTTCACTTCACGATTTCACAGGCACTGTTAAATATACAGTTTTGTTGAAAAATCAATCAATCACCTGTCACATCTGTTCAGGTGTTTTAGTTCAGCTGATTATGTTTGCACATTGATTATATCAGTATAGTAAACCTTTCACATATTGTCGATATGGCAGCTAGGCAGCTCAGATTATCTGTCATCTTTCCTATCAGGGTGAAGGATTGATATAAAGAAGTATTTTTAGGGATGTAATAAATACAAAGTCTACCTAACTTAGTATGATCTAAAGCCACCATGCCAGAAACTGGATACAAAGTTTGAGAGTTTTCCATACAGTAATTGCTTCAAAGTTTAATTCATGCTGGTAGGCAAATAAATTGGCAATCTTAGGTTGTAGGTGATCACAATCTTTCTCATTCATTTTTGGTTTAAGGTTTTGTTCTTGGTGTTTTCTTGCCTCCTGCATATTTACATATTTGGCTAAAAGATTCTAAACCAAAATATGTATTACATTCATCCCTTTCTGTTCAATATGTTAGGTTCCAAACATGAAAGAAATCATCCTCATTGGGTTTTACCAGCCTAATGATGCACTGAGCAAGTTCATCATCAGCTGTCAACAAGAATTCAAGATACAGATCAGGTGAGTTCCATTTGCCACTCTGTGTGAATGTCATCAATGGTATCAGTAGAATTGACATCTGATGCATATGAAAACAGCAGACATGTCATAACAGGTCTTCATCTGAGGCAAGTGAATTTCCAACAGGCAAGCAAAATGTGCTGTCTTGACTTGTCCGTGGTCAAGTGAATTGTACAATTATATTTACTTTCCCTTTACGCCTGTGTATTAGAGTAACTTCCCTTGCTGAGTTAATTAAACTCAAAAGATAAGAACTATGACAGCAGTCATAGAACAAGAAAAAGATGTGTGAGAAATATTCTTGGTTCAATTACAATGAAGCATGTGATGTTATGGATTGCAATTACTGGACAGTTGTCCGTCTTTCTCTTCAAGGCATCGGATGAAAGACACGTTTGTTAAAGGATGTGCACAGATTAAAATTGTGTATGATGTAAATATTCATGCCAGTTCTGCCATTCATAACAAATGCTTGCCTTACTACTACATAGTGAAGTGAGCTCAGAATCCAGGCAGATTTTGTGCGAAACCATGCCCGATGTGATTGAAACGGAGCACAAACGTATTCAGTGCTTTCAAAGGATAGATGAAAACTACATAGTAGCAGAACTGTCACTCATTTTCATATCTACAAGTTCTAAGGAAGGTGAAATAATATACAACTCATTACATTAATGTTTTTTTACATTATTCATTGAAATGTTTTGGGCAAGTAGAAATATTGGCAAGTGATTTTATCTTTTTCACTTGTCCTTTGGCAAGTGGATTTTCAGAAATAATTTAAACCCTTGCATAACTTGTTAAGTCATGTCAAATATACCATGCAGACTGCAATATTATATTTCTTTAGGAGGGTATAACATGAAAAGTAAAAACCAATCAGCAAACTTAGATTCCCTGTCCACCAATACCACCAGTTTTTCCACAGAAGAATTATGCCTTCAGTACATCAACCGCCAGCAATGATGAATGTTTCTACTGACAGGTATCTCCAGGAGTATACTGCTCTAGGCACTGCAGGAGGAATCTATCATTTCCGGGACCAGATTCTCACAGGCAACCCAGAGAGTTTCTTTGTGATGAATGCGGATGTGTGTGGAGACTTCCCTCTGACCGAAATGGCAGAGTTCCACAGGTCTACTCCATCAGGCGCCTATGGGACAATCCTAGCTACTGAGGTAGGTGGACCAAAAGTATCAAGATTGATGTTATACTGAGGTCACATGTAAAGTCACTTGACATGTGCATATGTTCCACACATCTTATTTATGCCTTTAGAGTGCATCTGAGACATGGATTGGACTTAACTAGTGTGGTTTTCTTTGTTTCCTGAACTGTTTTATGTGTGGTTTAGTTGCTATTCTTGTTTAAGTTTTAAGGTAATTGCATCTGTTCTGGGATGACAGAATACAATCAGATATGTCAGGATGACTGTTAATTGGGACTATTACATGTAAAGACTAGTACATTTTGGTTGGACACTATCCCTTTGTCTAGAAGCGATTTTCATAAATCATTGACCTGTTTGAACAACTTTGAACAATATCCATCAGATGATTTTGTACTTCACAAAAATAACCTTTCAAGGCATACATATGATACTTAAAGGAACAGGATGAGATTGTACACTCACTCAAATTGCCTTATTTTATGCCACTATATAAAGAACCAGTTTATTGATTCAGATTGTAACTTTATTATTTTGGTTCATTTTAAGGCATTTGTTTGACCTTTGCCATGTTTGCAGGCAACCCGACAGCAGTCCTTGGAATATGGCTGTATAGTGGATGATAAATCCACACATGAGGTAAGATCACACACTGTTCCTTGTGGTTAAAGCATTCACTCGTCAAGCTGAAGGCCCGAGTTTGATTCTCCACATGGGTACAATGTGTAAAGCCCATGTTTGGTGTCCCCTGCTGTAATTTTGCGGGAATATTGCTAAGGCAAAGTAAAACCCAACTTAATCACTCTTTCCTTTAAAAAGATGCCATGCATCTGAAGTTCTTGAGGATGTCATTATTATGGGTTTAGTTTACAAAAAGTGTTGTCAGTTTGTATTAACACATCAAACTATCATCAATCATGCCATAATGTAACCGAATTACAAAGCTGCTTTAAAACAATGTTACATGGCTAAACCAAAATATGATTCTTCACAGATGGGATAGAATATGTGAATGATTACTGGGAGTCCTCAAATATTACTAGCCCTGTCTGCAACTTTAGCCACTAGTCTGAAGCTTGAGTCTTGTAAAAGCCTGTTTGGTGTGTTAAACTCAGCAGATAATGGCCTATGTGTCCAACACTAAACTCTACTGAAAATGATGCCATGTTTGAGCAAGTAGACTCAAAGGATTTTGGCACAGACTGCTAGTCACTGTCATGTCTGTTATGCGTTTTGCAGGTACTGCATTATGTGGAGAAACCTGGTACATTTGTCAGCACAACAATCAATTGTGGAGTGTACCTCTTCTCACCAAGTGTTTTTGAAAACCTGGAAATTTCATTTAAGAAGAATCTGGAAGAAAATTACAAGTAAGTGTTCATGTTTATCATGTTTATTGTGATGTATTGACATCATATTGTTGATATTTTTCCTAAATTGTTAGGTAAGCATTTGGATGATGAGTATAAAACACTGACTAGTTAGTGGAGTATGTTACAATGTGAGCACAATGTCAGTTTAGTACAAAAAATTGAATACTGATGTTGACATGAATGATGAACTGTCGAATACCCTATGCTCATAATGTGTAGGTTGTTAGAAGCTCAGGGAATCTGGAAAATAGGGTTTGGTCTATCAGTGTGTATTGGATTACCATAAATATACATAAAAGATCAGGACATGTTGTAATAACCATAAATAATGTTGATAGTTATTGAAAAGTTATTTTGATTGTTGAATGCCATCAAGGTATGCCTGTTTTCTTTGCCCTTCATCCATCTATTTATTTTACTTTCATGTAAGAGGCAATATTTCCTTCGTCTGTTTCATAGTTTATGAAGCAAGTTCTGTAAGATAACAAAAAGGGTATTACAGTATTAAGTAGCATATTGCTAGAGATAGAGCATATTTGTCTGCATTGATTTGAAAGAATATCTTAATTCATCTGATATGCCTTCTGAACTTAACCACTCAAATGTGACTCAAACATTGTTTAGCCAGGTCATTTTATCCTCATGTAAAACACAGTGCATTATTATGTTGATAATATTAAGGCCATAAAAAAACTATACTTACCTCATGCCGTTGACATGATTGATAAGAAATTGTTAAGTTCGTTTAATTTTGAGAACGGTGCATGTTTTATATTGAGTATCTGGTGATAATTTGTTCCAGGTTTTGGTTTAATATTTGCACTTTATTCTGACTTTCATTTTATGATCATGTTGAAATAAATGTCATGTTCTCTCACAGATAAGGCTTAATACTGCCAAATTATTAGCAGGGAATTGTCAAGTAAATCTCCCACTGCACACACAGAGTACACAACCAATCGCCATGAAATCAGATCTTGTGTTTCGATATGATACCTCTGTATGAAGATCTGATGTCGGGAGGTTGCATCAGGTGAACTTTCTAATAAGCCAATCAACATCAAGGTTTCCAAGTTATTGGTACATGTGAAGTATTCAGAGCAGTATGTCTGATTTCTGTATCTCAAAAAAGAAAAAATACAGGCATTTCCAAATGGAAATAATAATGGCAGTACATTGTTGTAGATATTTAATACTGTCAGTCATTTTTAAGCACCATGTCATCTACACCTAAAAGGGAGTACTATCAAAGGACTATATGTGCCTGGTGTCAGTTTTCTTTTCTTTTGGTCGGCATTTCCAAATTGAGATGAATTAAACAAAAGTAGTAGAAAGTATACATCTGAACCCACAAAATTCATCATTTAGAGTGGGCTTTCAGAAGTTTCTCAGGGTTCAACTGATGTGACCTCCCATGGAGGTTTTTAGGTCCTGTGTGTTTTTTTGCACGGATGGCCCAGTCTTTTAAGGCTGCAATTTGCTGTGCAGACTTGTGTCCTTTAGGTATGCCAAATTCCAGATTTGCCCTCAATTTGTGATCATTACTAAGCTGGCATGCTGGAATATACCTGAAGTACTATTTAAGGCAGTGATAAACAAGTCTCACTCACTTTTGCTCAGGTTATGAGCACAGTTCAGCTGAAACAATCTTTTCACAAAATATGAAGCAGACGGCTTTATGGTACGTACTTATGAGCCCAACGTTTCCTTCTAGTTACACAGATTTCTGTAGGTATGTACACTGCCTGCAAACGCATGCCCTGTCACCCTAATGTTTGCATGCAGCATCTACAGTTCTCCTTTGAATGCATAGTCTACCCCTGCAGAGTGTTTAGATACATTATCAGTGAAGGCATGTTTCCCTAATTGTGAAAATGTACTGATTAACGTGTTATTGCTGTTGGACTTAGTGTAGAAGAGGTGTTCTGAAGGTGGATAATTTTCTTAATATTCTGGGATCAGGGAATAGTTGTGTGTAGCATGCAGCTGTGTTGTCAGTGTGTGAGATGGCTGAGTGGTTGTCATTGTTGGTTGGATGTGGGCTATAAATGATGTTTGGATCGCTGTCGTTTGTAGTTTTGAATGGTGTGTGGTTAATGTCAGTCTGTGCCATTTCCTCATTTGTTCCTTGCTTTGTTAAAGTAGGGTTCCCAGCTAGAACTCCATGCTTGCTGTAAGAGCCGACTTATGAGGAGCTGGTGATAACTTACTATGAGTGCCTTGGCTGATTGTGTTATTGTGCATTAACAGTGTGGATCGTTACTCGTGTTGTCTCTGGTTTGCCTTGACTTGATTATTTAAGGGCAGCCACATGGCTTCAATATTGTTGACTGTTGTAAAACAACATTCACTTCCTTCTCTTGTTAAAATATGGATATATTGATCAAGCTGATTTGGTTTAACTATTTCATGTTTGTGTCTATATCATGCATCTCATTATTCATCATTCAAAATGGGGGAAAGTGTAAGCTTGATGTAATTGAGACATAAGACCTCAGCACTACTCTGGAAATTCTTAAATCAGTCAGTGGTAATGAATGTTTATGTTGGATATGATAGAATGCAGTTAATACAAACATACTTTTATGTGTGTATTGCTGTTCACCGCCGTCATATAGCTGGAATACTGCTGAGTGTAGCGTTAAACAACAAACCAACCAACCCACAAAATACTGTGGTGGAACAAATAAGAGTTTATTACACAATCTCCCGAGATCATTAGCTGAATGTTGGAATTGGCCGAAGATGAGGTTTTTCTTTCAAACATTAATACTAGTCACAGCTTGCTGGAGTGATGGGGAGAAATCACAACTCGAATATGACAGATTTTTAATTATTGTTGGATTGCACAACACTGACTTTCAGAAGTTGGGGTATTGTAGATGGTGAATGTATTATTTCCTTAATAGATAACTGTACTCGCTGTATTAAGCACCCTCCTCCAATAAGCATCTCTCAAACAAATTCTAAACCAACTTATAAGTAATCATATAAGTGCCCCCTACTTGACTGAAAATGTATGTGACAGGCCGTATGTTCTTGCAGATTCTTTTACAGAAACAAGGGTGTAGAAAGGGCATATAATTGCAAAGTGACTATTATCAAAAGAAGTTTTAGTTTCTTCAACTTTCGAAGTGTTTGTTCACTACTGCTAGGAAATACATGTATATATTACTTTTTGTCATAGGTTTAATAGGTGCCTGAGGTACTTATTGTGAGAAATACTATGTTTCATGCATGCTGTAATATAATTGGAAATTAAAAACCTTTGGATTTTCCCAGTTACCAGGATTTGTATATTGACATGGACTGATTTATAAGGTTTGGTTACTTGTGTATGTAACATATATTACATAATTAAGCATCAGCATGGATTAGAAAATATTGATATTAATTATCAGTTGATTATATACATGATATATGGCAACAACATTGTTAAAAAATGATTCCATTCTTTCACCTTTCCTTCGTTTTTTGTTCACAGTTTTGAACAATGTCATTAGTGCTAATCTTCTGCTCCTCTTTATATAATCAGTAACACATTCATACTGTGTTAAACTTCTTTACTTCATTTACAGGTACTTACTTCAGATCCGGGGTAGAATAGGTCTTCAGCAACCCATGCTTGCCGTAAAAGGCGAATATGCTTGTCGTAAGAGGCAACTAGCGGGATTGGGTGGCTTGCTGACTTGGTTGAAGCATGTCATCGATCCCAATTGCATGGATCGATGCTCATGATATCAATCACTGGATTGTCTGGTCCAGACTCGATTATTTACAGACTGCCGTCATATAGCTGGAATATTGCTGAGTGCATCGTTAAACAACAAACTAACCAACCTTCTACAGTCAAGTCCCGTTAATCCGACATTGTTGGTTGCATATGATTATGTCGGATTAACGAGTATGTCGGATAAACGAAATTGGTGGTATAAAGGTTCGTGATCGAAAATTGGACAACTACCTGATAGATAACGAGACGAACACGTCAGAAAATGAAAAATGAAATATTCATATTGTTGTGTTACATTGTCAGGGGAATATGTTTTCTAATCATGCAGCCACTAAACTTTAACACAAAACTATTGTTACAGACTGTATGACTGATTCAAAATTAACTGAAATTGACTCAAAATTTTAGAGCATAGTCTGGAATGGAAGTCGCTTATTTGAAACTAGTGCCGCAATGCTTAAGAAAGCTGCTTTCTTAGTGGCTAATGTCGACTTCCTGTAAGTAATTTCATTGGTCGGTCAAAGTTCGCGAAAGGTCTCGCATCAAAACATGGCGCTGTGTACTCGTAGGCAGATGACCACAGATCACTGTGTCGGATTAACGAGACTGATTAATGAGTGATTTCAGCAATTCGTTGCAAATTAGTTGTGTTGGGGTCGGAGTGCGAGACTGTCGGATTAACGGGTCTAAATAGCACTGATTTAATCGGTTCCCATCATTTGTGTCGGATAAAGCCGATTGTCGTATTAACGAGTGTCGGATAAACGAGACTTGACTGTTCTTCTGATTAACCTCTTATCACTCAATTGTTCAAATTGAGTTGACTTGTCAAAAATGTCAAGACAGTTGTACAGCAATAAATAGTATTATCACTCAAATGGGGTATGTAACAGCTTGAGACAATGTGAGAGATGATTTGGGGAAGTTTATGTTCTATTTTGCTAATCTACATGATGTTAGGGTGATGGGTCCTACAATTGCCTTTTCCAAGAACAGTAATGTTAAGTTGACTTGACTGACTTATGATTGCAGTAGGACACATTAATAACCAAATAACATATTTGTTGTCAACTTCTCTACAAGTTCAAAAATAGGCTGTTTGTGGGAGGAAATATGCAGAGGTCTATCATGTTCAGCAACTGTGTGAGCTTGACATTTTTTCAAATTATATCTACAGATCTAAATATTCCTTTACAGGCCATAATTCATCAATGATTTTTCGCCGCTTCAGCAATGTTCAACAAATATATTATTCAAGTTTGGTGGTCTAAGATTGTTTGGTTGCTGCAAATTGATTGTAATGGAGTTTATGCACTAGGGATTAATATGTTAGTTACAATTTATTTTACTGACACTTTTCAACTGAATTCAACCGATATTGATTTCATTAACTAGTTGGCTGCTTGAGCCGTTTCCTAAAGCTGCACAGTCCATGAATTTAGCACTTTTTGTTTTTTTGTGTAGATCTATTTGTATCGTTTTCAAACATGTCAAAAACAACTTATCATGTTTATGAATCAGGTAAAACTATATTTTGTTAGCTATACACCTTGGATCGATGCTCATGATATCAATCACTGGATTGTCTGGTTCAGACTCGATTATTTACAGACCGCCGTCATATAGCTGGAATATTGCTGAGTGCGGCGTTAAACAACAAACAAACCAACCAACCAACCAACCATGTGCAAGATGATATTGAAAATGCAATCACTTGCATCAACTTGATTAGTTATTTTGTCATGAAAAACATATCCTTGTAGTGTTTTAGATTAAGAATAATAGTTCAGGAGTCCTTAGATGAAGGTTTTATCATGGAAATCCCCAAGGACCCAGGGAATCACACACCCTACACCCACAATCCCCATAATTCTATTGCTGTCATTGGGAAAATTCAATTTGAAAGAAATGAACAACTTAGTAGCTTTATGCTGGTTCTGCTAAAGAACAGCAGAATGATTATGAGTTTCTGTGATTTATAACTATTACAAAGGTTGTAAGCAATATAATGAACAACTGAGGAAGCAATGTCTTGCACCATGTGGCATGTTAGTGTGATACATTCATGTGTTTTCAGCTCTATCGCATCTGTGTCTGTTGATGTACAGTTCTCCATTGTGTGCTTCAGAGAATACTTCAATAGTTGTTGCCATGTCCTCAGGAAGTGTTGCAGCATAACGATTATCATAGCTCACATACAGTAGTTGCAGCATCAAGATTGTTGTGTGTAACTAGTTTAAGTCATTTACTATCAGCTGGAACTAAATAGAATCTGTAACTCATGAGATAAATTTTGAATAATGACATTCTTAAGGGAATATTTCTACTAAGTTCAGAGAGTGATGTCAAATATTATAGGCAGAACTGATATCTGCTTTAAGCTAATGTTAGCTCTCCATTTGTCAGTTTTGACTTCAATACGCCGTCAAAAGAGGTGATTCGCTTGGAACAGGACATCTTCGCTCCCCTGGCAGGCACAGGGAAGTTGTTCATCTTCCCCACAACCAGGTTCTGGAGTCAGATCAAGTCCGCAGGGTAAGATACAACAGCCATTTGTTAGCTCTAGATAGCTTTCTATTCTAAGACCAACTGTCCATTTGATACCCTCTTGGACAAAATAAAGAATCGTCTATGGCAAACAGTCAACATGGTCAAGTATGATTGTAATGATGGATATGAGGAAATCATATTATGGTTTTACTGTTAATTGAAAATAGTATTTACACCGTGTACATCTATCCCATAGGGATTCCGGATTAGAATCGGTCCCTGGCAGCCTATGCTAGTTGTAAGAGGTGACTCTCAGTAGATCGGGTGGTCAGGCTTGGTGACTTGGTTAATTTCATGCCAAAGTACCCCCAAAGCATGGATCATTGCTCATAATGTCATGATCTACTCTCGGGTCCAGATTTGTTTATTCATAGACTGATGTCGTATAGCTGGAATATTGGAGTGTGGAGTTTAACAACAAACACACACCATGTACACCTGCAGTTTTAAAATATTGTCTGCTAAGTGATACTAAGTTTATGAGCATTTTTTAATATTTCAGCATCTTAGCATTTGAAAATAACTTGTTTAGTTCTCAGCCTTATGTATCTCTACAGCAAGATTTATTGGTCATATTGTGAAATTCTGTTCTACATTCAATGGTGTAAAGTGGGATGTGACATGCTGAATGAGATCTGTGTTTGTTCCCAGGGCTGCCATCTATGCAAACCGCCACTACTTGGCCATCTACCACAGCACACATCCAGAGAGGTTGACAACCAATGGAGAGGGCAAGATAAAGGTCATAGGAGACGTCTTCATCCACCCTACAGCAATGGTGCACCCTACAGCTGTGGTAAGATTACTGGCATTCCTGCATACCAAGGGGCCTGTAGTGTAAGGCCTTACAATTCACTGGGATGATCCCTTAGAGTCAGCAGTGTTAGCAATCTCATTAAATTCAGATTTTTTAATCCAATATGATACCTCTCCACATGAAGATCTGAGGATGTGAATTTTCTAATCAGCCAATCGGCATGGTTTTGACTTAATTCTCTGAACAAGTGAGCAAAACATTTAGGCAAACATATCTGATTTCTGTGTCTCAAACGTGAATATAAGCTTAATGCAATAATATAATGCTGTGCTATTATCACATGATTATATTGTTGAGGATAGATTATACATCCTGTCGTTTCTGATCACCATGACATCTAAGCCCGAAAGGGTGTACTACTGAGGGTAGAGATGATTGAAATACTGTTCAAAGCAGTATTAAGCTCTCTTACTAGGGCCATTGCCTCATGGGGGATTAACTTGGCATCACTATATCAGGATTCAAAATTAACATAAGTGCTCTAGTCTGAGACCAGTGACATTCAAGGAGGAGAATTGACATTTCATTGTGGACTACCACGTTTTGCCATGAGATAGATTACAACTCTATAGCATGTTATTTATTGCGGACAAGTGAAAATATCAATAAATTTCTAACCCTGTATATTACAGTCAGAAACAGAAAGACATTATGAAGCAGATTGGTAAAGTTGACATTAACATATTTGTATTCTTTTATTTCTTGGTTTATGACAGGCATATGTTTTTGTCTGTTGGGTTGGTTGGTATTCATGATATATATATGTTACTAAACAAATTTATGGGGATGCAGGTTAGCACATGTTCGAGGCCCTTAACATACCGGTATATGGTACTACTTGGAATAATTGTTGCTTTCTGGTTAAGCAATTTCTTGCTTTGATATTTCTAATGTAAAAGATTGGTCATATAATTTATATATTTTTTACCCTACAGAAACACTATTTAACAATCTCATTATAATTACATTTTTTATTCTTATGCATTACCTCTCTGAAGATCTGACAACACCTCCAAAATGCCCATAGAAGGAATTAGAGAAGAGTGTTCAACACTACCATGGTTTTGGAGGAAAAATCAATTAAAATTTTATCAGTTTTAATTTTGTTTGGCCAATTAGAATTATTTTAAAACAAAATATAATGTGTACATATGTCCTATGTGCAATTAAAATGTTTGTTTTTTTATTCTTCCATGAACAGTTATATTATTTTTACATTTTTACAGGATATGGTTATGTAAACTGACGTGTAAAAACATTCATGAATTGCAATTATCAGGAATATGAATCTTGTCATGCCCCAATACACATCCACGCCTTTATAACACTTGGTGACAGCAGTTGCTTAATCATGTTACTGGTGGCATGTAGTGTGAACTCTGACTGAGGAGAAATCAAAACCTTTTCAGTTTAGACAAGGATGTCAAAAACAAGTAGCATGATATGTAGGTGCACAATAACCTTAACATGTCATGAGATGAGAGAGAAATCAGAGGAAGATGAACACAAGTGAATGAAACAATCTATATAGCCACTGAGCGCTTGATATCAATGTCAGGTGAAATGGAGAAGTGTTGACACACATCACTGCCAGCTGTTTCATGCTATAGTCTTTTTCTTATAGCTTTGTAAAATTTGTGAAAGTAATTGGTAATTTTAGGGGTAAATATGCCTCTTATTCATGTAAGGCATTGTGACTGCTACTTAATTTCCACAGTTGTAGATGATGATACAAAGCAACATGTTTGACTGTCTAGAACTGCTTGATGTATTATGACCGCCCCGTGGTCTTGTGGTAGAGCGTTGATTTTACAGTAGTAAAGAAGTTATTATTCATAAATTGTGTCTACTTTGTCAAACAACTTCTTTAATACTGTAAGGGCGCCGTTTCATTACAGATCCTTATCAACGTCAACATCGATTGATTTTACAGTAGTACAAGAGGTTGTTATCCATAAATTATGTTTACTTTGTCAAACAACTTCTTTAATAATATAAAGGCGACGTTGCGGTATGGTTCCTTATACCGTTGTCAAACAATAATCTTGAACGCGACCCTACACCTATTTTCTGTTTATTGTTGAGTTTAACAGTTCAGCCTGAATCATATGCTCACGCCTGTTGGTTCATGTGTACTCTCATGAATCAAATCCTGCATGGTGGAGTTATATTCCTTGTAATAAACAAATTGGATATGAAGCCACCATATAGTTGCTCACCATTTTTATGTTTTTAAACTCACGATAATATTTTTTTGTTTCCAGCTTGGTCCAAACGTGACAATAGGTCGCAATGTTACCGTAGGCGAGGGAGTGAGAGTAAGGGAGAGCATCATCCTAGAGGGCGCCACTCTACAGGTTGGTTCTCTAGCACCGTGGTCAGATGGGGAATTCTGATCAGTAGGCCCATGCATATAGATTCTTTGCATTCAAGGGTAGCTGTAAATCCAGGTGATGTTCAAGCAACATTGCCTGCGGAGTGTGAATAAGATTGGCTTGGGGACCACCTGAAAACGCTAGAATCCAAAAATGCTTAACTCAGGTTGATGAATTATTCAGAAACTCTGTTTTCATGTTTCCTTCCAAGAATTGCTTTGTTACCATCCATTAATATGATTTTCATGTGAGGGAATCAGGGCAGGGTCACCAAAGACGTATGACAGTCTCTAGAGGAAGATTATATAATAATAGTTCACATATGTGGAAATGATGATGATGAACATTGAAGTGGACATTTAAAGATACAAAGTGCTTTTGCATTTTGTCTTTTGGGAAGGGTCACGAAAAGATAAGTGCAAGGATATGGGGTGGGTCATCAAAAATAAGACAAGCATTAGGGGAGGGTCATTATTGTCAAAACAGTAGTACATAAAAAAGCTCTGACCCACCCCCTGAAATAAATGATTGGCCCCTAATACAGTTTGAGCTTTCGTACATTTGGCCGTGTTTACCTGATCTTATTGTTTGTTGACCAGTAACATGTGTTTGCACATTCTCTTCACCAGAATCACTGTTGTATACTGCAAAGCATTGTGGGATGGCACAGCACAGTGGGAGTGTGGAGTCGGGTTGAAGGAACTCCCAATGACCCAAACCCAAACAAGCCATTTGCCAAGCTACAAATCCCATCCATGTTCACTGTTGATGGCAAGCTGAACCCCTCTATTACTGTAATAGGTTGGTAATCTTGTTACCCTTCTTTCTTAGTTGGAATGTACAGGCAAGTATGTTGACAATGCTGTCCACTGATTCATGTTCTTTACATACTTGTGATTGTAGCTTCTTGTTATGGACAGCAATGTGTTATGTTCCCCATAAACTCATATACCTCTATGACCGCCTGCATGGTCTAGTGGTAGTGCGTCTGCCAGGAGAGTTGGCGGTTTGATCCCCAGCCGCGTCATACTAAAAGATGATAAAAGATGGTACTTACACTCGGCATTAAGGGGCTAAAACAAGGGACTGGTCGACTCAAAGTCAGTATACTGTGTCGAGTGGAGTATTCATGTTAAGCTGCAGCATGGTATCACAGTGGGCTGGCACTATAAAATCAGCATTAGTCCAGCCTAGTACAAACAGACACACACACATGCATCCACATTGCTAAATGAGTGCAATGATCTTGAAAACGACATTGAACCCCATTTCACCTCACCTCATATACCTCTGTACTATAATACCTACTATCATAGCTTCCATTTGGTTTCCAGAGCAGAACAGCTCCCTCGAATCACGTCACATAATAAATAATAAATTTCCATGCAAAAACATGTGGTTAAAGCGTTGGCTAGCCTAACCGAAGACCCGGGTTCGAATATCACTAAAACCAGCTTAAAACCATACTCATTCACACTCACTCATGCAAAAACAAATGACAATATTCAAATAGTTGATTTGTGTTTGTTTAGGTTCGAATGTCCAGGTGCCGTCTGAAGTGATTGTCCTCAACTCCATAGTACTGCCTCATAAAGACTTGCAAGGCTGCTACAAGAACCAGATCATCCTGTAGGCCTCCCACACCCTGCTCACACCCTGTCCACCAGCACAGGAGCTGTCTCTTTGGTCATCATGGTTTCCTCAGTGATGGTCACAGATGCAAAAGATGTTTAATTACTTCTTACTGAGAAAAATATGACAATTAAGCTCCTTTCTCAGGCACTGGTTTAAGGGATTTTATCATTTTGGATGTCAAAAAGAGTGCTTTCAAGATTGCAGTATTCTGGTAAGCTGTAATCAATTCCTTTTATTTGGGGTGTTTTGATGATGGGGGCTAGTGCAGGAAAAACTGGATTATTTATTTTCAGATTAGAAGTATTTGTTTGAATATCTTTGAGGATATTCACTGGTTTTAAGACATGATTATTGCTGGTCGTATTTCATTACACCATGGGCAGTAACCACTGGTTGTTATTTCAAGAATACTGGAATACACAACTTTCACAAGAGGAAATGAGAGCAATAGCGATTCTACTATGACTACTATCAAATCTTCCACCAGAAGTATAAATTTTAACTGTGGTCTTTCTGTGCACAATAATGATTGAGAACCTCTCAATGACATCTTCTGTTTTCACATGAAGCTTACTGGTTTTCATTCTTTGAAAGCTTCTAAATTTAAAACAGTTTATCTCCTACTTGTTAGGAAATATATGCTGTGGTACAATGGTTATGGATTCATGTAGGGTTGGTTAGTTGGATAGCAGGAACTAGTTTGGAAAACTAGAAAAATTGGAGAATATGGCTTATAGAAAATATCTTCATTGAAGATTCAGACATTGATTCACTGCCATTTGGTTTTATGCAATCAGATGAAATGTTAATTATTTTGTCGTATATTATGTCTGCAGCATTAGAAATTGGCACTAGTCCTATAGTTTAGGTATCCTGAGGACTAGTAGAAATTTGCGCTTTTAAGGGTTTTGCTGTATGTTATCATTTTAAGGACTAAAACTGTTTGTTTCTATCGCTGGATGCTTTTGTAAAGTAATATGTTGCATCACATGGTTAATAGTCCTATTTCAAATCCCACAAATTTGTTTATTTAATGCAACTGTTTTTGTTTTCTATGTTATGGACAAAATGATGTTTGTATGAATGAAATACTTTGTAATGAGTATTGTATGAAAGCATGACTGTGAGTTGTGTGTTTCTGCTGCTCATTTCATATAACATCTCAACACTATTCCATTCATTTCCTTGCTGCCGTTTGCATGTTGCATTAGGGATGATTGGGTGATTGCTTAGCATATTTAACACAAGCAAGTATTATTTGGAGAGACATATTCCTATTGTACCAGTGTTTCTTTGTGTATGTATATCTTTAAGCATACTGAATGTCTTTTTTTGAGGCTTTGAGTGCCACAAAATTGTTTTCTGTGCAACTTTCAAAAGACATATAAAAATGTTTTTAATATGAGTAGAGAAAGTGAATCTCGTTTTTTTACCTCATTTTTATAGTATCTCTTATGAATCAATTAATATGAGAAGATTTATATCGTTTCCAGAAATAGATGGTCCTGGCTGCATCAAAGAATTATTAGCCATGTCCTATTATGACTGTTTTGAGATAAAAGATAGATTTTGCAGGAAATGAGAGAAGAAAACAAGTACTAGAATGCAATACCTACTTTCTCTTCACACTGGTACTAATAAGATTTAGATGCTTTATTTATATTCCTCGCATTATTCAACACCTGTGTCATATTGTCTGCATGAATGATGGAATATATATATGTTCATACAACATTGTAAATAGGAGGGAGAATAAACAATTGAATTTTTTGTGTTTATCTTTCTCAAATCTGTGTGAAAAGCCAGGATGTTGCTGATGCAGCATAATATAAAAACAAATCAGGTCTCCAAAACTAAACAAATACATTTTTCGCATTATCCATTGGTTCACTTCCAAGTCCTTTTTGCGTGTCAGTAGCCCAAATGTTGCTGATACAGCATATAAAACATTAAAAATATTTGTCTTTTGGACAGATGTATCAAAACAAACACATAGGAAATTAGTCCTGCACCATGACCGTGGAATATATTTATTTTATGAAAAAATAATAATCTAGAAATGCATACAAAAGCAAGTCTAGCCAGCTCAAGCTAGCTCTATTATGAAATCAGCATAGGGAATTTTTTTCATTTTTAGAGTCAAGAAGGATATTGTGTAATATAAGATTTCAGAGACTACATGTTAGTCTAATAGGAAATATATGACAAACAATAAGAACAAAACCAATTCATAATGTGATCACACTCTTCCCCCCCCCTCCTGAAAAACCCCAAAACAAACAAAACAAAACAAAGGCGATGAGTGTACTCAACTTGTTTTGATAAGAAATGGTAATATTTCCTTTTTGTTCAGAAATGTTTGATAGTTTGTGTGATAATTTATTGCCAAATAAAGAAAGTTGTGTACTTTCAGCTGAATGTCATGGTTGAGGGTGTGTCATTGATTTCTGCCAATATCTACCTTGTCTGTAATTGAGAATTTTTTTCTGATAGACTTTTCACCTCTACAGAAACAGGAGCAGACAACTCAATAACACTGATCCAACAAATATTTATTTCAAAGTTGATACAAAAATTCCTCTCTGTATTATGGGACATTCTCCACCTCTTCATTCTGTATAAAACTAACAAAACCCTAGGTATGTCACCAACAAACAACACTGCAGGACTTACTTGTTTCCTAAACCTTAACTACGATTTTCATGATACCCTTTATCAGTAACATGCTTATTGCATAGGGAATATCAGTAACTAACATGTGCATGTTCTATTGGAATTATACCTATGGGACGTGTCACAAAGGATTCCTAAAATGTTTGACATACTGTATGGATGTTGAGCAACTGCACCAAGAACACTGCAGATATGTATGATGATCTGATAGTGTGAGTGTTTTTTTGCCTGTTTTAGCAATATTCCAGGAATATCAGGGTTGGGGACACCAGAAATAGGCTTCACACACTGTACCCATGTGGGAATCGAACTCGGGCCTTTGGCGTGACGAGCGAAGGCAAAAAAACACTAGGCTACCCCACCGCCCCTCTGATAGGCGGGGTTACGGGTGGCTGTGCAGAGTTGCGTCCCTTGGGCATGCACTGAGGAACATGACAGTTTTGTGTTGTCTGACCAACACTAGAATATTATGTTCAAGGGAGACTTTCCCAAGACAATTACCTCCATGATCGTAACAAATTTGACTTATGTTAAGGTACACCTTCAGCCTCCCTCTGTGTAACCTTTATTCAGGTTATGCCCCAGAACATCTTGTCTTGTCACCTTGACACTTGCATCACTAGTCGTGTTACTTCACACACTAACACAAATGGGTATTCTGTGACAAACCTGAAACCTGGGCTATTTTGTTTCTTGCTTCTCATTACAAACAGTGAGGTGAACAGCATGGAACATATATGCCTGGCTTTCGAGGATGGGTTTAGAGAATGCATCTTAGCCCGGGGGAATACAGGGCTTTCATGAACTTGCAGTTCTTGTCTTTTGACCTGTATGTAATATCCTTGATACGTTGACATGTATAAGCTATGGCTGATCTGAGGGTAACGATTCCTGGACAGAAACACTATCTCTCACATATAGACTTAAACCATCTATTTTGGAGGGGTGGTCAACCATGACAAAAACAATCAGTGAACATATAGCTTCAAATAAGCAATATGCTGTAGCAAAAACAAACATTAATATTAATGCTTCTTTAAGCATAATCATCAAAGTGAAACATCATTATGAAGACATCATTGGCCTTCATTCCTAAATAACTTGTTCCAACAATTTCTGTTCCCTTTTGATCACCAATGTAAATTATCATATTTTGCAACAAATAACTTATTTCAATAGGATATACAAAAATAAACATAACAGCATAACAACCCTCATTCTACAAACATGAAATTTAAGCAAAATTTGATTAAAGTCATTTACATGTGTGTAAGCATCAGGAAGAAATGATTCAACAATTAAAAGCATGAATCTCTAATATATAAAATTTAAAAAACCCACAGTAATAACAAAAATCATCAAATCTCTGTTTGAAAATGTTGAGTCTCAAAAACACCATGGATAAAGATAGGTATAAAAACAATTCTTATCATGACCCATGTGCAAGTACCCTCAGAACAAAACCCAAGTAATACCCTCCTGACAATGCATTGTTCTTAACTTTATAAACAAACATAACCTGTCAAGCACTGGAGTCAAATGGTAATAATTGGTAAAAATGTACAAAAATAGAGCACACGGTCCTGTACCAATTACTTAAAATGCCATTTGGAGATCTAAGAATAAGCAATGCATTAAAAGCGAATAAAATATTCAGACAAAGTAAGTTTCAAATTTGATGACATCGCTTCAATGAAAAGAAAATGCTATTTATACACATATCATTGATAAACACAAAAACAAACTCTAATCAATTGCAAAAATATTGCAAATTCATACAAAACAACTAAACAAGAAAACTGATCAATAAATATAACTGGGACTAATTTCGGAAAATTGATGTACAAAAGCACATAAAATAATCAGTGCAATGATGAGACACAACATTCAATATCTCCATCACAAAATATAAAATACAGACTAACTACAGAACTAGAAACTTTCTTTAGAACTGTCACCTCTTATAATTGCATAGATAGTCCTCGTTACAGAAAAAAAGATTGGAGCCCTTCAGACTTCGATAAGTCTTAGTGAAGAACAAATACTGAAATGTCTTAATAAGCTCTCGAGACAAAGGTAAACAATCATCATTGCCATATACCAGGAACTTGACAGCACCATTGAAATGAGTTTTTAAGGAGACTTCCGTCATATTTGATTTATGTTGTTTAAGATCTGATTTGTCTGCTTGCTTGGATATTATGATTATTAATCTTTTAATGATAACCCCAATTACACATAGAAAATGTCACCACATCTGTGGTCTAGTGGATAAAGCATCTGCTGGAGAGAGGAAAGTTGGTGGTTTGATCCCAGGGCCGCATCATGCCAAATTGTTAAATAATTACTTTTTGTTACCCTGCCTGGTGCCCTGAATTAAGCAAGGACTGGTAAGCTCTGTGTCAGCAGGCACACTCTTTATACATTATGTTCAGACAATATGACGGTATGAATATGCATCAAAGGTGCAGATACCAATATCCCAGCACTCTAATGTAAACAGGCCAATTAAGACCTTATGAATAATGCAAAAATTGCACTTGAAATAATGAATTGCAAATAAATTAATACTTTCTTAAATAACTTTTCGAATAATGATGCCCTCTCAGTGTTTGCAATTAATGGGGGTCCTTGATGTTTGCCTCTGTAGTATTTGGATTTACATTTCACCCTTTTTGAATTTGCCCTCACTCATTCTTGACTACATTCATTCTCTTACCAAATTTCCCTAGAAAATATGTAACATAAATAAAACTAGTCTGCTTCAGTATCATCTAATATGATTCATTAAACAAGATGCTTTATAGAACATTTTCACATTGACACTCAACCAGAGTACGTGTACATGAGGCATATTTTCAACAACCAATTAACATATTACAAGGTAGACACAATTCTATGGATAACAACTTCTTTAATACTTTAAAAGCGACGTTTCAGTATAGATCCTTATACCGTTGTCAAGCAAGACTGGACTGGAATGTCGCTTTTTACAGTATTAAAGAAGTTGTTATCCATAAAATTGTGTCTACCTTGTCATCCGTCAACTAAGTAATGCCTATCAAACAATTCAATTAGCATGTTTAATACAGCAGATATGGACATGCTCTTAAAAGCAAACAGAAACTGAGAAGATAACCACAGTACTGCTATACACAACAAGAACTATGAATGTAAGTAGAATGGTCCAAATTCAACAGGATATACAAACAAGCAAGACACTGGCCCATCAAGAATATGTGCTACTTGACACAGAAACATCTTTGGTCAGTGAAGAACATAATCTTAATTATGTTTGCAATCAAGTTTGTATTTCAACAGAATCACTGACATTCTTATCATTAGGGGTAAATTTTATACTTCAGTTTTAATGATTATGCTGCTTTGTCATATCACTTTCATATATCATTTCTGAGTGATGATTCATTTTCAGTCATCAGAATTAAAAGGTCATGATCATGATGGAAAGTGGTTAATTTTATCAAATTTGACTAGAACTGACTTTGGCAGTTGGACTTATTTTCAGCACCGACATGTAGGTTTGGATTACCCACAATACCATCTTGTGATGATGTTTGTAAGGCAAGACCAATTATATTACTTGTTTTACATATGTGTCTCCTCTAAATACCTAAAGGCAGGAATGGACAAAATTGAAAATGAAATTCTCTTTCAAACAAAAATACATATAACTGCATTGTGCCTTTTTACCATATTTTCTTCTGCTTAATAGGAACCCATAATCTGAGGTTCAGTTGGTTGGTTGGTTTGTTGTTCAACGCCGCACTCAGCAATATTCAAGCTATATGACGGCAGTCTGTAAATAATCAAGTCTGGACCAGACAATCCAGTAATTGATATCATGAGCATCGATCCACGCAATTGGGATCGATGACATGCATCAACCAAGTCAGCGAGCCTGACCACCCGATCCAGTTAGTTGCCTTTTACGACGATTATAGTCACCTTTTACGGCAAGCATGGGTTGCTGAAGTCCTATTCTATCCTGGAATCTTAATGCAGTCAAAACATTCATATTTTGCTTCAGGCAAAGTCTTTGTTCAAGAAACTAGCAATTTTGTAATTTGGGTGGAAAATGAAAATGGCTGGATTGGAACTTTCACAAAATCGCAGAAGTATTTCCATATTTTTAAGAAGTACATCACAAAGCACATCATTCATATAAAGCTAAACTTTGAATATAGAACTTAATAAATACTAAACGATTAATATGTGAAATTGATTCCTATGAATAAGATAAACTGTAAGGATTAGATACCACAATACCTAGTATACTATTAACAGTATTCACAAATAATTTGTAAATTTCATCTTCCTTGACAATTATTGCCTTGAACACTGGATGGGTTTGCTAAATTCCTCTAATTGAAATTCAGTATCAATGAAACACAGTGGGACATGATTATAATACACAGATATAGCCAACTTTACTATACACAATAACAACAGGTTGGTGATACTGGTGATGGGCTTGCAGAACAGAGATCACAGGAAATAAACAGCGTGTTTGAGGAACCCCCAAATATGGTCACTTGCTGTTCCAACAATAGTTCCACCCTCCCTCGTAGTATATCATTTCATGCAATTAAAACAAGATGCTGTAAACAGATCCATTTAATAAAAAATAATGACTCATATATTTTCTTAAAGCTATTTCTTGTTGATTTATATAACAGCATGTAACCTTTAAATGTCTGACAATTATTCCCTTAACTTTCCTGAAAATACATATTTTCTGACGGCCCTCTGTCACCCCTTTCCCCATGCTTCAAATCTGTCCCTTGAAAATTCAACGGATGGCGTATCTACCATATTTGTCCCTCAAACAAAGCAATCAGTGAGACAACATGAGCAGCATAAACAGATATACACAGATGGTCATACCAACTATAAACAGTCACAATAAATACTTCAGACATATATTTGTCATCTTGAACTCTGTGTAACAATATTAGTCCACACTGCCTTCAATGCTGGTTGATTCATCATGGAGTATGTTTGGTGACATAAAAAAACATCACATTTTGAATTATAAAGTCATATAATTTTGATCATTTAATTATTTGTATTCTTTACTTCCTGATCATAACATACTAGTGAGTGAGTGAGTGAGTATGGTTTTACGCCTCTTTAAGCAATATTCCAGCAATATCACAGCAGGGGACACCAGAAATGGGCTTCACACATTGTACCCATGTCGGGAATCGAACCCGGGTCTTCGGTGTGACGAGCGAACGCTTTAACCATTTGGCTACCCGACCGCCCCTCATAACATACTACTCAATAGAAGTAAAGGACCACCCCATTCTTTCATATTGCTATAGTTAATCTGTCATGCCATAGTACAATAGTAATAGGAATGAATTGGGTGGTCCTTGACGTAACGTCATTAGAGTCGTATGAGAAACTCATTGGAGGTTGTTGTTTTTTAGCCTTACTGTCACTGAACTCTCCTGATGTAGCATCATGAGTTATGTAGAGTAACAGACATTGTTCCTAAATAAGATTACTTGGGGCACGAAGTGTTCCATTTTCACGGGTACAAAAGTATCTATAGGTGAAACTACTTAATATCCTCTTCAAAATTAACAATTAACTTTGATTGTGGGGTTAATGCCATCACAAGAACGAGAGGAGTGCATGGTTGTGGATTTGAACAAAACTGGAGTGAGAAATGTTATGGTACATTAGGGGCAGCATAAATAGAGAATCTCTCTATGGAAATCAGTTTTCCTGAGATTTTATTTATCATCCAAAATCAGTCTTCCAACTTTTTCGCTTTGTAGACAGTAATAAGCAGTGTCTTAGTGTAAAAAGTACTGCAAACAGCTTCAGTAGCAGAGCCATTAGTGATGTCATTTGATTGTGACGTCATGGTAACCAATGACGTCACAATGGTCTGCAAAGCATTGTGATGCAATTTCATTGCAGCGATATCTACAATGTAGATATCGCTTGATCTCACCCAAGCATATCTCCCGTGGGACCCAGTTTTGGATGATAAATAGAATGCACAGCCTTCACCAGTCTTGTCATTTGAACAGTACCAGTATATTATGATGTTTTGAAAACTAGAAGGATTAAGAAAAATAACACAACTTTATTAAGATGAGCAGACAATCCTAAAAACATTGCTTCTTCAAATTATCCCGGCTCATGTTGCTATTGTTTAATGTATCAATATTACCAACTTGCTAATAAATGCAAACATTAATTAATCAAGGTATTTGTGATGATATTAACCCCTGATGTTTGATATAAAGGAGCAATAACAGTCAAGCGGACATTTACACTGTGTAGCCAACATTTATGCTAAGAATAACTGGACAATATGACGGGTGTTTAACATGAGAAAATATTCACATTCAGGCATTTTGGTGAGAGGTAACTCTTGTTAGCAGAGGCCTATCTTTACAACAAGGAAGTGGAGTATGCGATGTAACAAGGAAATATTTTGAAGACACGATGTACTCATAAAATATTTCTGCAGAAAAGTGATGCACCAGTGAAATATTTGCATCTTGCAACAGTGGACGAAAGTGGAGGGACTTAAAACTCAGCACTCATGATTGGACAAGCTTCGAAAGTTGTGAACAAGGACTGTTAAATGGATGAATCAGTTCACAAATGTGACCAGTGCAACAATTCTGGCATATACATGATCTTTGGTGTTCAAAAACAGATGATACCGGGTTGACAATTTTTACAAATTCATCCATCTGTACATTCCACATCTTGTTAAAACACTGCCTCTTCATATACCTTTTCATCCCCATCTTTTACCAATAATGCACATGTTCACCAATCAAGGTCAGTTAGGAAATACTTTCACAGTATACAACAAACACATGTTCACCTCCATTCAGAAACAAAGCCTACATGGCAAATCAAGGGTCATATCCCATACAACCAATCAAATCATCCATAACATCTTTCTTCAAATTATGAACCAATTAGAAAGCACTTAATACAAATACAGCCAATAGCACAACCAGTTCCATCAGTCCTCTTCAAGAGTCTCAACATAATACTGGTTTTCTCTTAAATAGTTCTTCACTTTCTCCGGCACTGGCAGGACGTCGATGTGATCTCGCCGGACCCAGCGTAGGATGAGGAAGCGGCACATGTGCTGCAGTGACGGAACACGACAGAAGCGAGACACAGGGTGGAGGAGACGGATGGCAATTGGTGGCGATCCCGGCCCGGACGGACGCAGGAAGTACAAAAACTTCCCTGAATGGGAGAAGTGGACTGCCTGCTCGATGAAATCTTTAATGGTGGAAGTCCCATGGGAGTCTGGCTGAGACCAGAAACTGAACACACCTGGAAACAGTCAAAATACAATTGTTACTAGATCTGGTAAAAACTGAGTGAGTGAGTTGTGTTTGATGCCGCTTTTAACATTATTCCAGTTATATTGTGGCGTGTCAGCTTAATGTGGGAGGAAAGCCCGAAGTGATGCAGGTCTTAGACATTTACCACTTTGGTGAAACCCACGAGCACAGGAATGGTGCTGACAAACCTAGAAACATAATCGGGGCAAACCGGGATTCGAAGGAACAATCATAAGTTTCTGGCGTGCCCAAGGGACGCAACTATGCTCAGCGAACCATGGCGCCTTAGACGACTGGGCCACCAGTGCCCCCACTAAGTAAGAGAGTAAACATTGCTTTAGGCTGCTGTCAGTGATGTCCAAGCTGTGTCAAGGATACCTGTAAATAGATGCGGCTGGGGGCACACATGCATTATACCTGACACCATGTTTGTTTAATGCTACAAATAAAGTATTTTGTATCTAATTTGGTAATTATACATTTCATTTATCTATTTTGGTAATTACACATTTCATTTACATACGAAAGCATTTAATTCAGGCCATTGAGTGGGGGGCAAGCCCCACAAACCCCTTGTTGTTTTAGCGAGGTGACAAGAATGGCATCTGTAAAACATGGAAACCGTTACTAAGGAATAAGCTCATGCACATTTTTTCCAAAGTGGCGGAACTGCATTCTTGCCACGGCTGGGCCAGGCTAAACTGGTTTATTACGTACATTAACAAAGACCCACACCATCTGCATCCAATCGCATACTATCCATCAGGGCACACATAGTAACCACAAATTATTCATTATTGTTGGCACTTATGACTATTAAAACGATCCCATGGGATTCTGGGTTAGAATAGGTCCACAGCAAACCTATACTAGTTGTCACAGGCAAATGGATCAGGTGGTCAGGCTTGGTGTCTTGGTTGATTGCGTGACATGACCCCGATGCTGTGGACTGTTGTTCACCATATCGATCAGTGGAGTGTCTGGTCTAGGCTTAAATATTTCCAGGCCGCTGCGATATAGCTGGAATATTGCTGTGCGTGGCGTTAAACAACAAACATATAACATGTGTTTAACATGGGGAGTCGAAACCCCAAGGAAGACATGTCCAGGTGACCTGGAAAGTTCTTATATTACTTTTGTCACATTCACCTTTGTTGTGCTCGATGCGTGTGTGGCACACGGACCCCATGCACTTGAATGACAGGCTGAGGATGTAGTTCTCGTTGGAGCTGTCCCGGACCAGGAAGGACCCGTCAGGTTTGTTCAGCAACTTGTTCACTGCCTCGTTGTAGCTGAGCGGACCCCAGTACCACCCACACTGAAACAACATGTTTGATAATACAGTCATAAATACACATTGGTCTTGACCCATCCAAATGAATCTTTATTTGGCAATAATACATTCTTTACTAGTTTTCCATCCCCACCCACCTCACTACAAAACACCCTGTCTCATATCAATGTATTGGCCCCAAGTACCAACGAGGTAAATCGCACATTAGTTGTCTTGTTTCTCTACTTGACAGAATATACCACATACATAGTCCTTCCAAAAGTCCAACAACAGTTAACATACACAGATGCCTTGACAATTTAGTTCAAAATACAATATGAAATAAAATGGCTCCAGCCTTTTCATTGAAAATCTAATAAGTATTATATTGTGGCCATAAGACTGTTGATCTTGCCTAACATCATCCTAAATCAAGTGAATCATTTCTCCATTCTATATGCTAAATACCCTGGACCCATTTAATGAGCGACTGACTACGTGGTCCAGCTGTCCCTGGTTCGATCCCCTGGCCCTGTCAGACCAAAAATGTTAAAAAGACGGACCTTGTTGTTTGGCATTAAGGGGACAAAACAAGGACTGGTCGGCTCGGAGTCAACGAAATATGTCTGAGTTCGGTAACTGTGGCATGGTATCTCTGTGGGCTGGCACCTATAAAATAGCATCGCTATATGGCTGAAATAATTGCCGATGTGACGTTAAATTTGAACTCACTCACTATTAAAATTGCATTAGTCCAGACTAGTGTGAGCATGTACAGGTCCAGAGTTCGGTCCCCGGCCTCGTCTTACCTAAAGACATTGACAGATGGTACTTGTTGTTACCCTGTCTGGCGCTCAGCATTAAGGGGTTGAAACAAGGACTGGTCACCTCGGAGTCAGTATACTGTGTCTGAATTGGGTATTCATGTTAAACTCGGCATGGTTTCTCAGTGGGCTAGCACTATAAATCGGCATCAGTCCGGACTAGTACAAGCAGCCAAACATACACACACGTGCATGTCGTTATATGAGTGCAATAATCTCCAGCATGAAGTTAAAAACATTTCACCTCACCTCACCTCACCTCACCTCACCTCACCTCTCCTAACCTCACCATTTAAAGAATATGGAGTAAACACTATTGTTGAAGTTTCAAAGTGTACTGGTGTGTTAGTGAGGTGAACCCAAAATACATTCAAATAATGTATTCATAATAGTGATCTCTGGCAATTTTTGTGTTCTTTAAAACGCAATTACAATATCAATTTTAGCAATTGTTATCATAAACAAAATATTAAGCAGAAAAGTGTCTGGTTATATTAGTTGATGATGATGATGTTTCTGCTTTTGTCTACTGGCCATGCATGTTCTGTCCATGTGGAGGTGTCCTGAGATGCTCAGTGAGTGCAGTCAGGTGGTGGTCGGGGTTCCAAGAACACTGTTCTTCCACAGGGATGAGCATAGATGTGTTCGTGTGGCTGCATGTACTAGTCCAGACTTAGGCAGGTTTTATAGCGCTAGCCCACTGAGATACCATGCTGCAGTTTAACATGGATACCCCACTCAGACACAGTAAACTCTTTGGAGATCATATTGAGAATTGGATCATAATATTAAATAATAAAACGGGTCTTACTTCGAGAAGTGCATCAAATCACATGAGCACCTTGATTAGAAACATGATAGGATTTGGAAAAAATCTGTTGTCGTCAACTTGGCAGTACACATGCTTTACAAAACGAAATCTGCATAGCAGTTTACAAACTGGATGTCCATTTCGTCACTGATTGGGCTATGCATAGACTCATTAGTCCAGCCAACTCAATAATTCCAGCCTAGTTTGGCGAGGGTTGAAACTAGACTTTTATAGTCAGTTAACTCTCTTGCCTCGGGAAGATGCTCTTCAATATTCCCTTCATTGCCCCTTCCTGGGCCTGTACATTTCCCCCTTGACCCCTGCTTGTCACTCCTTCCCTGTGTGGCGCTGCAAGCTAACTTACATCTTTCAGTTGCCGCATGGACTCCAGGAACGCCCGGTGTGCAGCATTTGTTGCATTTTGATCTGCAAGAGAAACAATAGAATCAGTATGTGCGTGGCGTGGAATCTTTCAATGTAACATGATAGGGATGGGTGTTGCTGGATCATTTGTGGCTCAAGTTTGTCAACTGCTGTCGCACAAATGTACTGTGTTGCCCTGAAACAACCTCTGGAAATGTCATTTGCTGTTGTATATTTGAGAACATACTCAACAGAAAACAAGGACTCCAATCTGGTAGCTTGCAGTGTCAATCCTAGGGGACTTCTAGATTCTTGGGTTTTCTGTGAGTGTGTTAGCGTGTATGGTTTAACGCCACTTTGAACAGTATTTTAGTTATGTCAGCTTGATGTGGGAAGAAAGCCTGAAGTGATGCAGTCCTTAAACATTTACCACACTGACCACATTTACTGCATGGGTACAGTGCTGTCAAACCTAGAAGCATAATCAGGGGAAACTGGGTGAGGTGAGGTGAGGTGACATGGGGTTTAACGTCACGTCCAAGATTATTGCACTTATATAGCGATATGCGTGCATGTGTGTGTGTGTGTGTGTGTGGCTGCTTGTACTTGTCCGGACTGATGCCGATTTATAGTGCTAGCTCACTGAGATACCATGCCGCAGTTTAACATGAATACCCCACTCAGAGACAGTATACTGACTCCGAGCCAACCAGTCCTTGTTTTAGCCCCTTAATGCCAAGCGCCAGACAGGGTAACAACAAGTACCATCTTTTAACGTCTTTTGGTATGACGCGGCCGGGGATCGAACCCCAGACCTTTCACTCTCCAGGCGGACGCTCTACCACTAGACCACAGAGGCAGTCAGGGGATTTAATCCCATGATCATAAGGGATGCAACTTGTTTGCCTTAGATAACTGGGCAACCCATCAACCTTGGTATACTTAGAAGGGGAGAAGATTCCACCTGCAAAGTATACCCTGGATGGCTTGGGGAACTCTGATTCCACCTGAGTAGATTCTAGTCCACTAGCAACCTGCTACTGGTCAGATGCCCGGAAAGTGTGGTTCACGCTTCACAATATCAATCACTGGATTGTCTGGTCCACACGGGATTATTTACCAGCAAAATCATACAGCTGAAATATTCCGGAATGTGGTGTTAGACAACAAGCAAACAAAACAAACAAAGAGATCCTACCCTGAGGGAATACAGAGATAACGACACTGTTTTCTAATGAGACTGGTATCCTTGCCAGCCTCATCTTATTATTCCCAAGTACCTACAGTTGAAGAAAATTGTTGTGTGTTGCCTTCTTTCCATACTGGATGAAAAACATCCTATTCATATTCAAAGTGAAAAGATTTCAATGTTTTTAATATACATGGACACCATGTACATGGAGATAATGCTTGTCATAAGGGGCGACTAACAGTTCAGGCTCGCTGACTTGGTTGATGTATGACATTGTATCCCAATTGCGTGGATTGATGCTCATGATGTCAATCACTGGATTGACTGGTCTAGACTCGATTATTTACAGATGCTGAGTGGAGCGTTAAACAAACAAATATACATCGCCTACCAAACACTCATGCATCATGTGTAGCACAAACAGATGCCTTGAACAGTTTGTTAAAAAGATATATATACATATATGATAAATATAAAAAAAAAGCCTTATGCCTCATGTTTGTAAAAATGGATGAATATTTATGAAGTAATTTATTTTGGCCTAAAATAGAGTGCCTAATCTACCCAGGGAATCAAGACTACAACAGGGGTAGACTCTGGTTACATCAAAGAAATAATATCACTTCGAGTTTCCATAATGACTTTCTGTTAAGAAACCCCATTATCTCTACATTTCGTGACGTAAACGTGGACAATTATCCTACTGAAAATACCACCATGGATCAGTAATATCACTGAATAACAGCGATAGCACGTTCTATCCTTAATATATTCATAACTTTTCTGACCAAAGCCTAAAAAAGTAGCCTGATCAATAAGTGAGTTGTAAAACAAGTTTATTTTCAAGAACCTTTTCAAGAAGATTGCTTATCCTGCATTAAATCACAAGCATCCATTATGAGCATGCATATGACAGCTATCAAGCAGAATGTTATCAGCACCCAGTGGTTTATCACTGCACATGCAGTCAAGTGTTTACACAAGCTACCTATCTGAAAAAGCTGATAGCCTACATTTTACACAGCCTGTCAAACAAGCTATTGTGTTACTCTGTAAGCAAGTTGCCACATTGTAGGCTGGTGTGTGTGTAGTCCCAAATCTTGAACATCTTTGACTACCTGTTGGCTCTGTACCAAATTTACTAGCTACAGAACGCTGCTTTGTCCATCCATCGGGATGCTGATTACTATGTATAATAAAACTGTTATAGAATCTAAATATTTAGCTGAATATTCTCTATTGAAGTAAAATCCTGGTGTTTCTAAACTCGACACTCGGTTGAACACCACCTATAACTGATTGAAGCACTTATAAAATATACAAGCCAAAATGCTATGGTCTAATTCTTCCTAAAAAGCCAAGGGGCAAGGTCATATATAGACAGCTCTTGGGACTGAGCCAAAAGAATCCAATATCCGGGTATTCCATAGTTGTGTTTCCAACTTTTTATAACTCACTACATCTGTGATATCACCTTACTACCCAGGTATGAAGCGACATTAGATCACAAGGAAAAGATAAATAGGACACGCTTTGACATTTATTGAATCAACTGTGACTTGGCATTCACCAGCTGTCTGTTTGAAGACAAATGTCCTCCCAAGTTAAACATTGCCAATACAAAATGACTCCAGGGATCAAGGAAATGTTCTTCTGACACAGTTTTCTACTAGGGTTATTCTTGTCCTTGTTTTAAATGATGATATGGAAGGACAGTCGGGACCAACAAAACTATCTGCTTGTCATCAGTTTTTCTAATATTTCAGTTTCTACATAATGACCTTTGGCTGCATGTATAAAAATTTATACATACTAGTTTACCATACCTGCTTCCTGGTCTGAAGTGACTTACCGTATTCGACGTAATAAGCGCCCCGCTCCAATAAGCGCCCACGGCGACATTTGCTAAGATATTGGCTAGTGAACAATCCCAATTAGCACCCCTTCCAATTGATCAATGTACACAAGACTTATTTACTCGCGTATAATACACACTCGTGTGTTATATGCACCATTAATTATTGGCATTTAATTCTGGAAAAATATATCTGTCGTACATAAACATTTCAGGCTGTCAGCATAAACCACGAAATTTATCTTTCAACTCAGTTTTTTTCACCAAAATAACATTCTAATAAGAGCCCCCTATTTCTAATTTTGAGACCGCCCTGGGCGCTTATTACGTCGAATACGGTATATGATAACATGTGGAGTTGGACTTTATTGCCAAGCTTGAACACAGAACATAAGGAACTTGACAGAAGCTCATTGCGTGGTTGATCTACTGGATACAGAGCCTGTCAAGGCAGCCTGACTCTATACAAGGCCTATTATTATATAGGACTGAATAAACATATGCACTTCACCACGTTACATACAATGTGTAAGCTAATGGGGACCAAAGGGAGTTTGTGTGTTTTTATAGGTTTAGAATTTTAAGGTTTATTGGCAGCTTGTTTGTTGTACTTTTATTTTTAACTGCGGCCAAGTAGGCCTGTTTTGATTAGATATATGCCTAGTGCTTTAAATGTTTGTAAGTCATTTAGGGGGTTAAGTACCATTGCTAGTGTCATTTGATTGTTGCAATTGAGTGTGGATTGGAGTGTTGTTCTGTGTTTCTGGTAATGTGTGCACCCCACACAATCCCTCACAACCACTGACAGCTACCTCACACAACACCTCACAACCACTGACAGCTACCCTACACAACCCCTGACAGCTACCCCCCACAACCCCTCACAACCAATGACAGCTACCCCCACAACCCCTCACAACCAATGACAGCTACCCCACACAACCCCTCACAACCACGGACAGCTACCCCACACAACCCCTCACAACCACTGACAACTACCCCCCACAACCCCTCACAACCAATAACAGCTACCCCACACAACCCCTCACAACCAATGACAGCTACCCCCCACAACCCCTCACAACCAATGACAACTACCCCACACAACCCCTCACAACCACTGACAGCTACCCCACACAACCCCTCACAACCACTGACAGCTACCCCCCACAACCCCTCACAACCAATAACAGCTACCCCCCACAACCCCTCACAACCACTGACAGCTACCCCCCACAACCCCTCACAACCAATGACAACTACCTCACACAACCCCTCACAACCACTGACAGCTACCCCCCACAACCCCTCACAACTACATCACACAACCCCTCACAACCACTGACAGCTACCCCCCACAACCCCTCACAACCAATGACAACTACCCCACACAACCCCTCACAACCACTGACAGCTACCTCACACAACCCCTCACAACCACTGACAGCTACCTCACACAACCCCTGACAGCTACCCTTCACAACCCTCACAATCATCACCCCTCCACCACACAATCATAACCACTCCACCACACAATCATAACCACTCCACCACACAATCATAACTACTCCACCACACAATCGTAACCACTCCACCACACGATCCCAACCACTCCACCACACAATCGTAACCACTCCACCACACAATCCCAACCACTCCACCACACAATCCCAACCACTCCACCACACGATCCCAACCACTCCACCACACGATCCCAACCACTCCACCACACGATCCCAACCACTCCACCACACAATCCCAACCACTCCACCACACAATCCACCACACAATCCCAACCACTCCACCACACAATCCCAACCACTCCACCACACAATCCCCATGATCATCTTCCAGTGCCACCCCTTATCCAAGCTGAACACAATCTGTCACCATGCATTTAATCAGGCTTTTCTATCAAAAACAAGTTATGAACAGCTTCATCAAGATTAAATCACACATTTTTTTATGTGTGCACAGCTTCAATGAAAATGAAATTAAACATCTTTTGACTCGGAA